CGGAGAAGGAATTGGCTCTGGTAGTGGAGGCAGTGGCTTTGGAGAAGGAATTGGCTCTGGTAATGGAGGCAGTGGCTTTGGAGAAGGAATAGGATCCTCCGGGTCAGGCCAACCTAACTGTGGTTCAGTCAGGGGATCTGGTAGTGGATTTGGCGAAGGCATTGGACGAGGCAGTGGTGGTTCAGGGGAAGGGATTGGTATCGGTATAGGAGGAAATGGTGCTGCACCAGGTGTAGTTGTCCCAGGCACAACAATCCCTCCCATTGTGGTTCCAGGCACACAGATTCCCGGTTTTGTGATTCCAGGAGTCACGGTTCCTGGCTATGGTTCAGGCTGCCAAACCGGTGGCTGCACCCCAAACGCACCATATTACCGCCCCCCACCGGCATACCAACCACCATGTTCCCATTGCCCACCTTTCACTTCAGGACAAGACAAGCACGTGTCGTCACACAAAGGAACCATGACCGAAGCTCTTGCACCCATTTCAAACGAGATGCACGTCTGAGCTTTATCAGTAGTGTCCAACACAAAGTATATCTAATAAATCACTCATAATGAGATTATCTATTTTGGTTTGATAAAAAAGCTTCACATCAAGTTGAATAATCCAACGTTACCAAAATAAAGTTTAATAAGTGAAAATTTGCTTAAGAAATGGCTACTACTCATTGGCTTAAGACAAGATTGAGTCAAAGAATTAAAACAATTGGACTAATTCTAAAACCAAAAAAAAATATATTGGACTAGTTGGACTGTATTTGCATTTCCATGGATGTATCTTCGACAAATGAGTTTATAAGCTGTATTTTAATGAAAAATACGATTTTTTAAATAAAAAAAGTGAAATTAAAAGAGGTGTAGTTTTCATAAAGCGGGCAAATCATTTTCCATCTCCGATCATAGAGATTAGCGACGGACCGGAGAAGAAGAACTAGAAGACCGACGAAGCGCGTGTGTGTGAATTTGTAAATGGATCGAATTCTGAAGGCTGCTCGAACATCCGGTTCGCTCAACCTCTCCAATCGCTCTCTCCGGTAAGCTACAGTTTTTGTTTCCATTCTCCATTGAATCGCCGAATCTGGCAATCGTGGTCAGCCATCGATTCCAATAGTCTCGAAATTTTGTTACAATGTGAATATCATCTTTTCAATCGGGACTCAGTCAAGTAGCTGGAGTTCTGTAATTTACCTTTGAACCTTTCGAAATCCGTAGCGTGATGTGATTTATCTGAGAAAATCTAGATTCGTAGTTGAAAAGGATTTGATCCCATTGTATATGAGCTGAAAAGTCTTTTGCTTGCGCCTCTGTTTGTTAATATGGGGTTTGATTTTTCAGGGATGTGCCTACAGAGGTGTATCAATGTCTGGAAACGACCGGAGAAGGAGAAAACTGGTGGGAGGTGGATAAAACTGAAACCCTTCTTCTAGTGCATTGTTCTGTGATCAGATTTCTTAAATGTTTTAAAATCTCCCACAATCTCCTTTGCAGGCGGTTGATTTGCAGAAGCTGATTTTAGCACATAACGAAATTGAGGTTTTGAGAGAAGATCTTAAGAACCTTGCCTGTTTGGTTGTGCTGAATGTCAGTCACAATAAACTGACTCAACTTCCAGCAGCGATTGGGGAGTGAGTGTTTCTGGATCCTCTGTGTAGTTAGGTTTCATTGTGTTAATGTCCAAACGTTTATTCTCTTTACTCATTCGTAGGCTTACTGCAATGAAGTCATTGGATGTGTCTTTTAATTCGATATCAGAATTCCCTGAGCAAATTGGTTCAGCAACTTCTCTTGTCAAGTAGGTTATCTCCTTCCTGGCATTAACTTCTACACCTCCCTCGGTTTATCAAATGATTAAACTCCTTGTGCTCGCTTCAGGCTTGACTGTTCAAGCAATCGGCTTAAACAACTGCCAGAATCTCTTGGAAGATGCTTAGACTTATCTGATTTGAAGGTTGTTGTTCTATGTTTCTTCTGGATCAGTTTTTTTTTTTTTTTTACTTCTTCTTTCATGGCAATGATTGTGCTTATTGTGTTATCCACAGGCCTCAAATAATCAACTTTCCAGATTGCCAGAAGACATGGCCAACTGTTTGAAGTTATCTAAGCTGGATGTGGAGGTATTAGTCTTGATTTCTTCCTCGAGTGGGGACTACTTAGCATTTCTTGTTTCCCTCTTTCACTGCCTTGCAAGTGCAATGGCAAGGAAAGATGATTTACCAATGTAATGTAAACCTATTGCAGGGAAACAAGCTCACAGCTCTCTCTGAGGGGCACATAGCGTCATGGAAAATGCTTACAGAACTTAATGCATGTAAAGATACTCAACTTTTCTTTTGCGTTTCTTACATACTGAGATATTCTGGCGCACACTTTAATATCTTTTCACTCTGCAGCCAAGAATATGTTGGGTGGTCTGCCACAAAATATCGGAAGCCTTTCACGTCTTATCCGGCTCGACCTTCATCAGAACAGTAAGTACTAAGTACTGTGTGATCTGATGAGATAATGTTTCTGCCATACCTTATCAAACTTACTCCGTCTGTCTAGTTTCTGAAATTCTTTTCGTATTTGGTTCACGCAGAAATCTCGTCAGTTCCACCATCTATAGGCGGTTGCTCCTCTCTTGTGGAGTTCTATTTGGGGTCATTCTCTACTAACGTTTATTCAGAAAGATTGTTTGATCCTACATGGAATGTAATTAAAGACTTTCACTTTCTGACATTCTCCTCTCTGTGCTTTATTCCAGAATTAACACACTATCAACATTACCAGAAGAGATTGGAGATCTATCATGTCTAGGAACATTGGATCTTCGCTCTAATCAGGTATTGTGCTCATTTCTTTGTTTTCTGACACCCTATGTTTCTTTTTCTAGTGACAATCACTTGCTCCTAATTATTGGTCTGCTTTCTCCCGATATTCAGCTCAAGGAGTATCCAGTTGGTGCATGTAAATTGAAGCTCTCGTACCTAGATCTTTCAAATAATTCATTGACAGGGTTGCATCCTGAGCTCGGTACGACTATGAAACAGCACCAACTGTTTTTCCATCACCTGCTTGTTAATGACTTTACATACGACTGTTTTTGCATAATGCTTCTTGTCCTCTCATTATTTATAGGAAACATGACTACTCTGAGAAAGCTTGTGCTTGTTGGCAATCCTTTGAGAACCCTTAGAAGGTAACTTTTTTCACTCTCTGTCTGGTTTCTTGATTGCTAACAATTGGTGTTAGTTTGATTGTTACGTCTAAGAGGCCAATATTTCTTCTTTCTTTTTTTCTCTTCAGCTCATTAGTAAATGGTCCTACAGCTGCTCTATTGAAGTATCTTAGGAGCCGCCTTTCTAATGGTGAAGGTACTTTGGTCCATCATCTCTCTCTCTCATGTCTCATCTAAGTGGTTATGACTAACTGTAAAAGGTTTCATGTATAGAAACTAGTGCAAGTACTCCGACAAAGGAAACTGTAATTGCTTCAGCAGCTCGTATGTCCATATGTTCAAAGGTAAGTGAATTCACAAATCTGATCACCATCCTGTTAAGAGTTCCATGTAACTGTGATCTTATTGATTGCTACTACACAAAACCTCAGGAACTTTCTCTGGAAGGTCTCAACTTGATTGCTGTGCCTTCAGAAGTTTGGGAATCTGGAGAAATCACAAAGGTCAATCTTTCGAAGAACTCTATTGAGGAATTGCCTGAACAGCTTTCATCATCTCTTTCCCTTCAGGTAGTTGGTTTCCATACACATTCTCCTTATATATGCAAAGAAGATTAGATGCTACATAATCATTTGCTTTATAAAATCCATCAATTATTGCTAATCATCTTTGCAATTTGCAGACTTTGATTTTGTCACGGAACAAGATAAAAGATTGGCCTGGTGCAATCTTGAAGTCACTTCCCGGTCTTGTGTGCTTGAAGTTAGATAATAATCCCCTGAAGCAGGTATGGTGATGTTTAAAGAGTTGAACCATAGCTTCCACCGAGTATACACTAATCCATCACCTTCCTTTTTTTTGCTCCTAAGATTCCACTGGATGGGTTTCAAGAAGTCTCTAGGCTCCAGATTCTCGACCTAAGTGGCAATGCAGCTTTATTTGGCATCAAAGAACATCCCAAGTTTTCCTACTTGCCACAACTTCAAGAGCTTTATTTGAGGTTGGTTATAAATATAATACTTTATTCATTGCCCATCTACTATTGTTCACTGGTTTAAGATGATCTACACGTTACAGCCGAGTCCAGTTGCCTGAAGTCCCTGAAGATACCTTAAGCTTACCTAATCTTCTTATCCTTGACTTGAGCCAGAATTCACTTCAATCGATCCCCAAGGTAAATGGCTCCATGCTCCACTTTTTGGTTTGAATTTGATTGAATCAGGCATTAATAGCTAATTAACCCAAGTCTAAATTGTAATGCTATTGCATTGGCTCTGTTTATGTGCAAGCAGAGTATCAAGGACATGACTTCACTCAAACATCTCGACATATCCAATAACAACATTTCAAGTCTTCCTCCAGAACTGGTAAAGACTTTTTTACTGCCTTTTCTTTAACTGAAACATAGAAATGCAATAATAAAGTGTTTGTTGTTCCTCAGGGCTTACTTGAGCCAACACTTGAGGTTTTACGGCTCGACGGGAACCCATTAAGAAGGTAAGTTTTCCTTTTTATCAACTGTAAAAACATAGAAGCTTAATTTCATTCATAAAACATTGAAGTTCTTTTCTTTTGAAAAAAACAGCATCAGGAGGCCAATTCTTGAAAGAGGAACAAAAGCTGTATTGAACTACCTCAAAGATAAACTTCCAGATCAGTAGCTTCTACAATGTTGTTGTCTGAACAAATACCAGAAGATTTATCCTGGAGATATTACTTCTAATCTCCTACTTTGTGTGAAAGATTTTGATTTTGTTGTTGTGTGTAATCCAATACCTCTTGTTGTGTGATATCTACTACAAACTCAGGTCTCCAGTGACTTCAAACAGAAGAAATTTGTTTATGCAGTGGTTGTCTTTGTTTCTTCATCCTCCTTGTCGAATGAAGCTAACCTAAACTTAAGAATCTTGTGGAGTTTGGCAACAGGTTCCACTAGCTTCTGCGCTGTCTGATTTTCACCTGCTGAAACTTCTGCAAACAGAGACTACTTGAGTTTAAATGACGGAACAATCTGATGTTTCATGTGATAAGTGAACTAACCACTCTCAGAGAAAGCAAGGCATGTACCAATTGTCTCTATATATTCTCCAACCTTAAGAAAAAAAAAAGAAAAACGATTGTGAATGTCTAGAAGCAAAAGTAACTGAACTAGGGAAATTTTAAGTACTTACAAGCTTGATTTTGCCATCAATGGTTAAAGTCGGATTCAAAGTATCCAATCCCTGAGAATAAACAGAAGGAAAGCTTAAGAAGATGATAAAAAAAAAACTATACAAGAGCGTGAAGAAAAGAAAGAATTGGGACTAAACTGATAAAGTGTATGGAGCTTCTGAGGGGATGTCAATGTGCCTTCCAACATCGCCGAGATCAATAAGAACATATTCGTCGTCCTCTTCTTTACTGAGGTTCGCTGATTCATTATTCATCTCTCAGTCTGATAGAAAAACAGAATCAGAATTTCCGAGAGAACACATGTGGAGAAAACTGAAACGAAAATATAAAGATGCGAGTGTTATGAATCCTAGAAACTCACAATCGGGAAGGTTTTGAGAGTTGAGGTCTTCGGAGATGGCAGAGAGAGGGAGGGGAAGGTTCAATCAGTGGTTAACCTTGAGACTGGAAACCGATCGTCGCAGGAGGAGCTTAACGCGGATTTTGTTTTTGCAGAAGCGAAGAAGAAGAAGAAGAAGAAGAAGAAGAACAGATTCGTGCAATTACTGGTTATGGGCCCATATCATTTGTAGGCCTATCTCAAATTAAGCTCATTATAATAGAGACCTATTATAGTTCTGACAGATTGTGTTGTGCGGTTTAAAAAAATTGAGAGTGCAGTGTTTTTACTTTTATAAGTACGGATAAAATTTGACTGCAGAACAAATGCGGTTTATGCAGAATAGCGGTATAAAGTAATATTTGATTGGTGAAAAAATAACTAACAGTAGAAAGTATTTGTTTTGAATGGTAAAAAATCAAAAAGCGGTTCATAATAGATATAATATGTAGATATAAATATCTATAAAAGATGTAGAATCAAAAATATGAACTAATTGTAATTTTGAAAATTAAACTATAAATGTTACTTAATTAATTATTTACAGTAATAAATATTTAATAATTAAAGTAATGTTTTTAAAATTTTGGTACAAATATTGCCAACTCAAGAAATCGATTAATCGTAAAAAATAAATACAATACAATAACAATATTATCGAGCATTTTGATTTTGCCATAACAAGTTTGCAATATTATCTTTTATTTGCGCTATATGTTGTCCATCTCCTATCTCAGCTGCTTTCAAGTCACCTAAATCAGATTCCAAATCCAAATTTTTCACGACTTTATCCCTTATACAAATAATTTCATTGTAGTTCTCTTTAATTTAATCTTATGTAGAATAAAATTTTCACTATATGGTACACAATTAAGCCAGAGATGATACAACTACATATTCACATATGTAATGAGCAATGTCTACCAATAATATATATAATTCAATTTATGCGATCATAAAAAGCTAAGCATAGTTTTCAATTTCATATTCTTGGGTTTAGTCTTTTTATTCTTTTGCTGGTTTAACCTTATTTTATGTGATTTCTTTTATATTTGTGTTTTTTGCTATCTTTGTATTCGCTTTTTTCATTTACTTAGTTTTATTTATGCTCATCTTGGTTCTTATTCTACTATCTTTTTCTATGATTAATTATTTCCATAAAAAATGCTAAGTCCCGCTATAACTTTTTTCTTCTATCTTCTTTTTCATCTTCTTCTATCAATTGGTTATTATTCCCTTTCTTTCCATACTTGTAGCTTTTATAAATATGTTTCGTATAATGCTCTTTAATATTATCTATAACAAATTTTCAGTATCTGATACACCTAGAAAAACCTAAAAAATTAAAATATATGTCTCAACAAATTTAAGCTAGCGAAATTAATATTATTATAGATAAGCTAATATTTAGGTTGAAATTCTAGGGGTATAAACTTTATTAGAAGAGAAACTAATTGACGTACATCGTTGTTCTTCATTTTTTTTCTTCATTCTTGTTTATATATATATTTATTTTATTTCTTCTTCTTCAATTTCTCCTGCTTTGATTTATTTGTATTTGGTTTCATATTCATCTTCATTTATCTTCGTGTTTGCTATTCTTCGTCTTCGCTCTATTTTCTTCCTCTTTTTTTGTTCTTGTTTGGTTTTGTGTCATTTGTTCTTGTTTTTGCAAGATTCTTATCGTGTTTTTCCTTTTTCATCTTTATCTTTTAATTTATTTATATTACATCTTCGCATGTCAGTATCTTCATTTTTGCTCTTTTCGGATTTTTTTTCTCTTACTCTTCTTTTTCTTTATATTCGTCTTGGTTTTTATTTCTGGGTTCTTCTCTACTCTTCAAATTCAGCTCCATTCTTTTGTAAATAGTTTTAGTAAGATTTTTAAATTTTTTATGCTATATAAATTATTGCTATTGTTATATTTGTTTATAAAATTTTAAATGATTATTTATATATTTGAAACCTTTATTTTAAGTTAAGAAAAATTTCTAGTTTAACTATAAGTAGATTTTTGGTATTAATAAAAACTTATACATGTTTTTCTTATCTTTTACATATCTCTATCTATATTACAGTTTAAAAAAATATAAGATAAACTTATGTGTACTAATAATATTGGTTGTTTAAAATTTTATATAATTAATTTACTATAACATAGTTTTATTTTTGTTGTAATTAGAAAATATAGTTTCTTATTTCGTCAAGTATTTAATTAATAAACTTTTCTGAAATATAAAAAGGAAAATAATTAATTAACTTTACTGATGAAGTAGAATGATACTATTGGTTGTATAAAATCATATATACTTAATTTTCTTATCTCTTACATATTTAAAAATTAGAAATTTTCTTAATCATATAAATGCTTATGTGGGCCAATTAAATTAAGTTTTTCCAAATTAGAAATTTTCTTAATCATATTAATAGCTTGCTCTATTAATCTGGAATAAATTATTAGCAAATCGCACTCATCAAGACTGGAAACCCAGACCTCATAATATAGAAGCATTAATTCACTTATCAACTTTATACAAGACAAACTAGTAGAGGACCCGGGCAAACGCGCGGTGTGACGTTGCGGTTTGTCAAGAAAATCTAAATCCTAAACCCGAATCCAACCCAAAAATTCTAATCAAAATTTTTAAAAACTCAAACCTTTTTAATATGTCTAAACCAAAAAACCTGAAATCCAAAAAATCCCGAAAACTGTGAACCGAATTAAAAAACAAAACAAAAAAACTCAAAAGTTTTGCACCCAAAACCCGAACCCGACCTAAAAATCCTAATAAAACTTTTAAAATACTCAAAAATTTTAATATGTCTAAACCCATAAACCCGAAATCCAAAAAATCCGGAAAACCTTAAATTAAACCCCCAAAACACTCGAACCCAAACCGATCAGAATTTAAAAAAAAAAAAACCAAACAGAAATCCACAATTTGATTTAAATTAGATGTATTTTTATTTCACTATTGAATATTTTGCAAATATCATTCGATCATATTCTATTGATTTGGTATTATCGGTAAATTATATTATTTTTTCTTTTTGGCAGATTTTTTAAGAGTTGGAAAACGGAAGTTTTCTAAACCATCGGCTTGTTTTAAGTTATTATTCTTGTATGTAAACAAATTTTTTCACTTATTCTTTTATCCAACTAGATTTTCCTCTTATTCTTGTATCAAAACATTCGAATGTACTTCTCAATTAATCTATACTACTAGTAGAGGACCCGCGCAAACGCGCGGTGTGACGTTGCCGTTTTGTGAAGAAAATCTAAATCCTAAACCCGAGCCGGACCCAAAAACCCTAATCAAAATTTTTAAAAACCCATACCTTTTTAATATGATTAAACCCGAAAACCCTGAACCGAATAAAAAAAAAAACTCGAAAGTTTTTCACCCGAAACCCGAACCGACCTAAAAACTCTAATAAAAATTTTAAAATACCCACACTTTTTCATATGTCTAAACCCGAAAATCTCAAATCCAAAAAAAATTTGAACCCAAACCGATCAAAATATTTATAAAAAATCCAAACAGAAATCCAGAATTTGATTTAAATTAGACGTATTTCTATTTCACTATTGGAAATTTTGCAAATATCATTCGATCATATTCTATTGATTTGGTATTATCGATAGATTATGTTAATTTTTATTTTTTTGCAGATTTTTTAAGAGCTGAAAATGGAAGTTTTCTAAACCATCGGTTTGTTTTAAGTTATTATTCTTGTATCCAAACAATTTTTTCCATTTATTCTTCTATTCAAATAGATTTTTCTCTTATTCTTGTATCCAAACATTAGAATGTACTTCTCAATTAATAATATAAAGAAATAAAATTTGAAGCTCTAAGCCATTGAGAGTGTCCACATAGTATTATAAAACACGATTTTATTGGTCCACATAAGCATCTTCAAGATTAAGAAGGTTTTCAAATTTTAAATTACCAATAGTATCATTCCACATAATCGTATAAACTTAAGAAAATTTCGAAATTTTAAACAGCCAATAGTATTAATTTATATCATCATATAAAATTATCTATATTTGTTAAATTAGTTAATTTATTTCTTATGTTTCAAGAATATTAATTAGTATAATCTATTTAAATTAGAATTAACATTCTTTTAATATAAAATTTGAGGCTAAATGCATTTAAGAGTGTCCACATAAGATTATAAAACTGCATCTTCTTGCTCCACATAAACATTTACATTATTAAAAAATTTCCCCAATTTTAAACAACCAATAGTATTAATCTATATCATCATCTCATTTTTTCAAATTTTAAACAGCCAATAATATTAATCTATTTCATCATCTAAAATTAGCTATATTTTTAAAATTAGTTAACTTCTTTTATGTTTCAAGAAAATTAATTAATAGAACCGATTTAAATCAGAAACTCCACAAGTCCAACGTAATTAAATTAAGATTTTTAAAAATTATTGTTAAAAATTGTAATTTACTAAAAAAATTAAAATTATATAAAAGAACATTTGTATAACTAAAATATTAGTTATAAAGAATTAAATAAACCTTAAGGTGAACTATCTTTGACCAAGCTTAAGTTTTTACAAATAAAGAATAGGTTACACCCAATAACTGAAGAATTGTTCTAAGCAAACAAAGCCAACATTGCAAAAGAATCGATCTCAACATTACATAATCTATGAATAAAAAAATGGAGATAGAAACAAAAATGCGTAATGTCGTATAGAAGACATATAAGTTCATTTGCAGTTTTTGTAGGTGATGAGAGAGATCAAACTTTGGGAGCTAAAACACAAAATCAAGAAGAATAAGAATTCGTATTTGGGAGGATAATGGAGGTCAGACGGAGAGGGAAAGAAGAGGTTGATGTCTGGCATCCTTCACATCCTTTAAGAGATTTCAACTCCATGTAAATAACGATTTTCAAATAAGAGAAAATCACGAACCGTAAAAAAATGGCAAAGTATATAAGGATAAAAATATATAGGCAAATAACCTATTAGGGGGTAGAATAATCAGTTTTTCTACATTTTCGAAGAGTTCATGAAAAATATGTGAGTTCGCCATAAGTTTATTGAGAAGCATGGCTTGATCCAAGACTCATACTGTAGAAAGACATATGAAGAAGATATGAAGACTGTTTCTTTGATTTCTTTGATGATCACAATGATTGCAGGAGGTGTATCAATTCCATGAGCACCCATAGTTTGATAAGTCAAGACAAAGTTTTCGGCTTTCGCCATCAAATTCAAGAGGATATATTTCATTTTTGGTGTAGTATAAACTTGCCAAATATGATTACTCGATTTGATTAGAAACATGATATGAGGTGAGTAATAACCATTTTTTGCAATTAAATAAACACTAACTGATTTTGCAATTTCTAAACAAATATGTAACTAACAAAAAAATTGAACAAAAATGTATTTATAAACATTTAAGGCGGAAATATTCAAGTAAACATTAATATAAAACTACTTCTAAAAAGAAATGAATACCAAAAAACGTGACAAACATTACTAACAAAAAATCAACATTGAACAAAAATGATTTAAGATTTTCTTTAAGCCATAAAAAGAATATACATAATTTATATTATATAAAAGCTAAATATATACTATTATGATCAAAGTTTATAAACTAATAACACTATATGTAAGTTAAATGTACTGAAAAATAAATTATATGTTGTTTATAGCATTTTAAGTTCTTAACATAACAATTGAAGTTATTTTAAATAAAATCGTGTTACATACAAATACTGTTGACATTTAATTTTAAAATTTCACTATACATATTTAAAAATATGTTTCTGTTTAGAAAATGATTAACACGTCACAATAGTTCATAAATTAACATTACATTTTACTATATATATATATATATATTACTAATAAAGTTTGTTCTGTTATAATGATTTGAATATCTTCAAGTAAGTTTTGGTCATTAGACATACACACATTTTTGTTATCGAGATATGATCTAAACAATATTTGTGTATGTCAAGATTTGATCTCAACACGATATTATATATCTAAAAACTTTTGTTTTACAGAGAATTTTGGTATTGAAATATTATTAAATTTAATTGTTAATTTTTGCAGTTTAAAAAAAAATTAAGAATATATTTTAAATCGATTTAAGTTACAAACCCGCGTGTGCGCGGATGAAAGTCCTAGTAATATAAAGATGGGAGCTACTTATAATTTGGGATAAAAAAAAGAATATAACACTTTTTCAAGATCTCCCTATAATAAGAATTCATTTTTTTTTTGAGAACTAATAAGAATTCAATTTTACTGTAACAAGTTACCAAAAACATCTTTACTAAATGATAGCAGCTAATTGGAGACTCTCAAAGCATCTCAGCTTTCAGCCACAGTGGCATATTACATAAAAAAAAAAAACTTATATTTTTCTTATGCAGTAAAACCTCTAAGCCACGCTATGTCCACCTGCCACGTCAGCATCACTAATAACGAGAATATAATTTTGGGCTTCTCTGCGACCTCAATCTGTTAAAGCCCAAAAAGAAAGAAAGTAAATTCAAATCGACATCTCTTGCTCCATAACCTAAATCGCTTCAGTTCCCAAAATCGATTGCCCTTACCAGACATCTCTTTAACTCTCATCCAAACTGAAACAACCCAAAAATGGAGGAGACGAAGGATGGTATGAGGTTCGAGTGAAGGCTATGGCGGTTAAGGAGATGATTGAGAGGATTAACAAAGGAGAGATACGACGGAGGTGGTGGCACTTGAAGCTTTACAGGAAATTGGTTTGGGAAGGGGAGAAGGAATCTGATTCGGCGGTGAGAATCGGCGGGAAGTGGAGAGCACCGACGGGTCTGATTCGGCGGGTAGTGGAGAAGTGGAGAGCACCGGCGGTGAGAATTTCAAGGCTGATTCGTAGAGAGCGTTGGCAATGAGACATAGAAAAGATCGGTCAGGACACAAGGTAAAAAACGAGTACAAGATCAAGTTCTTATAATTTGTCTCTCTTTCTCATTTAAGCTATTAGATCATGTTTTACTCTAATGTTAAAAATGATTGACGTACCTCTATGATGCATTTTCTCTCATCATCTGTATTATTTCGATTAGATTCAGCCATAGCTAGGAGAATTGGCTCCGATTCAAGCGGTGGTTGAGTCAAGTAACCGACACCAAAGTGAAGGCTTCAGATCAGACCAAATCAAGGCCGACAGATTGGAGTTTAATCGCCCGCTTCAGCTTGGAAATCGTGTGAATTGAGGTGGTTTAGTAAGCTCGACCAAGAAACCTTTCGTTGGTAAACCACCTATTTTGTAACATGTTAAATTAGTTTCATGATTTCCAAAAATATTAATTTCCATATGTTCTAATGTCGTGTTTGGTGTTCATGATTTTTGGTGTCTGCGATCATTTAGCTACAGTGACGGCACAACCCTGGTATGTATGTATGGATGCAATATAAAACTCGATTTCTTAGTACTGCATTTTACATAATGCCTCAGGAGGGCTCCGTGATTTGGTTAACAATTATACTGACCTCAAATTTCAATATACAAGCTGCACTTCTTTTATGGGCTTAAGATAGAAGTTATCATGGTCATATACAAAGAGGAAGAGATGTTGTATTGGGTGTATTTTCAAGTATCGGCCCTCACAAAGCATTCATAAGCCTCCTTCCTTAGGTAAGTTTTCTTCTTTATACTTGATTTCCACGTGGATATATGATTATGATGGTTTCTCCTCAAAATCCTCGATTCAGAATTCTGGCTTAAAGTTATTTGTCTTCCAATCAACAGATTCGTAAATGTCTCTCTGTGTAAACTAGCCTAAGAATTTATAACTTGCATGGTCCATCAATGAAATTTAGATATAGAACATGTATAGTAATAGAAATTATATCGTTTGGAAAGATAATACATAATTTGTTTTATATATATTTTATGGAAGTATTGATTGTGGTTACATATTATAGATGTTGGCTGTGTATTCTCGACACTTATTCTATTAGAAGCTATACATGTGTCACTGGAATTACAGCTTATGGTTCATCAATGTGCAAAGTTCTATAGGATCATGTCGTTGGAAATGGTCACACAAAGCTTAGGTATAGCTACATTTGGGGTTGTTTGCATTTATTAATATCATATTAGCAGTTTAATCTTGGCTTTAGCCGATAACGAGAGTGTACAAGCAAAAACAGAGCAAAGAGTATTAAGATCGATCATTCTGGTTTTCATTTTCTATATTTTGAAGTTGATCAATGCTACTTTCAAACCGTTTAGACACACTTGACCCTACATTGTATAAGTCTGTAAGAGTGTTTCCATAACATATATATTTTTTTTTTCACATTTTCAGAGACAAAATTCCGATGCAAAGAAAGCTCCCTATGAGATATCGCTCTCCACTATAAAAACATTAGTCCTGGTTCATTCCTGTTTCTGTCTTAGAATTGACTCATGTTTCATATATTGCTGTTATCAGAGAAACTCCCTATGGAAATGTTCGTCAGCTGTATACAGTGGATAGGAAAAAAATTCAGCAAATTTTACATAGAAGCAAAGCAAATCTCCGAGGCATGTCAAGGTCTGAGGCTGCGCAAATCCACGGAAAAGAGCATATGAACTTCTGCTGGAATAGCTCTTGCCTCGAGCAGAAAAATGAGAGATAGTAACCTATAAAATAGTCTTCGTGAGTTCTTTTAGAAAAATTGGAAAGAATAGAACATGTGTTACCTTAGAGCATAACATAAGATAAATAAAGATTCACGGCTGGATTTTATTTCTCGCAAAATGGATCTTATATTTCTTTGCAACATTTCTCCGTCCTTCGTTAGATGAAATTACTTTTCCCTTCTGAGGGATATAGAGTTACATACGTATTTTTTTTGTTAAATACATGGAGTTATAATACGTTAATATGAAAGCAGAAGAATCACAACCGTAAAAACTACATTGAGATTAAAAACAGAATAAAGAACCAAAACTGAATTAAAACATGAAAAAGTTGATATTTTTTGCTTGTGGTAAAAGCTCAAAGGTGGTCGAAAATCAGAGTTACTTTATTGTATATGATGTGAATATTATCAAATTTTGAGGATTGCACCAATTAAAAGATATGGTGCAAACTTGCACCGAATATGCGTAAACACGGAGAGGTTAAAAATAAAGAAACACACATTCCCAGAATTACATATTAAAGTTTGTTTTATTTGTCTATCTCTCGAAATAATTTCGTCCTTATTTGTCATCACCTTTAATCATCTTCACAGCTCACAAATGAGTTGCGAAATTATTTTTTTTGCTTTCTTCAACAATTACAGGGAAAGTTCGTTCCTTCCTGATCATTTTCACACCTTCGTCTTAATTAACTACCACGTCGGACCGGATTACTGATATCAGTACACAAAAGTAAGAGAAGTCCCTATACAAGTAACTTTCTCTCTCTTGTTCGCCCTTTTCGTTTCTCTCTCGACTAACTAAAAAAGCCGCCTCCTTTTTAGATCTCAGATCTGCCTCCTCGGTGACCGGCGCTCCTCGCCGCCGCCGAGGAGGGCCCTCTCCCTTTTTTCTCTTCTTCGGTCTCCTCTCGTCTCTGCTTTGTTCCTTTTTCAGCGGAGATTTTCGTCTTGGTATGGTCGAGTTCCGGTGGCGGTTCTCTCTTCCGGCGGTGGAGTGTGGCAAATCGACTTCTCCCAAGGCGTTGAGCTACTGCTTTTCGTCGACCTAGGCGCTCGCGGTGAAAGGTCTTTCAGATCTGGTTGGTGGAGCAGGTACGGAGCTTTTGAGGACGAGGCTCCAGCGACATCAGTCAGGCTTGGTGATTCCCTACCCTCGGGTGTGTCTGTGTGTCGGTTTTGTGGATCTGCCATCTTCTCTCGACTTTCCCTTCGGTGTGGTGGTTTTTGGGGTGGTGGCTTTCTCGTAGTGCTCCGGAAGAGGTGGTATTCTTTGATGGTGAATCAGGGTATGCTCTGGTCTCAGTCAAGGACAAATTCTGTGGTCGTTAGGTTCAGAGATCTTTCGGTTCAGCGGTTTCCGGTTCGTCGCTCGTTTTTGGTCATCGGTGGCTCCTCTTCTTCCTCCAGCGTCGTAAGTTGTTAGTTATCTTCTTGGTGTTTTTGGCATTGTTACGTCGGGTTCCGGAGAGGCGCTGTCTTAGATTGGGGACGGCTCGTCAAAGCTGCCATGGTGAATCGCTGGTGGATAGAGGCGGCGGCTCCGTGTTAGGCTTCTACTCTGACTCCGTGGGAGATGAATCTTGTGGCTTTCTAAGTTCGAGATTGGCGGCCAGAGGCGGCTTCTCTGGCTGCCCGCAGAAGCTCCCGTGCTGCCGGCTGAAGAGTAGTTCGTTGAAGCGGATACGTTTTGTGTATGTCCTCGGAGAAGCTGTAGGCTCTGCATCATATGAGGTTTTGAGGGCTGGCCTCTTATGTGGTAGCTCGTGGCAACAACGATGGGGATTCCAGGTTTTTGGATCTGCGGCAATTATGCAATTTTCCAAGCTTAGGGTTGGATTCGGTGTTTCATCGGCGGTTTTCCTTTGGTCGGCTGAAGTGTGTCTAGTTAATCAACGGCAGGACGGTTTATCTATTCCCTTTTAGTAACTTTGTTTGTATGTAGATTTTGGTCTTTCAAATTTCTTAGTTTCCTCTGTAATTCTGTCAAAAGCTGAAAATTGGTATAAAATCTTCACATTTTACCAAAAAAAAAAAAAAAAAGTAATGAAAAACTACCCGCGCGTAGCGCGGGGATTCCCCTAGTAATTAATAATTCAAAAATAACAAACGATCCAGGCAAGCAACAAAACAGTGTCAAGAGTTAAAGACTCGGGACGACGATTAAGCCTCAAAAGATTTTGCAACCTATCTTATGTGAGAGAGAGGAAGAATCGCCACAAGAGAAGCTTAAGAAGCAAGATATTGATTTTCCCCTAATTTTCTATTCCTCTTCACACGTCGTCTCTCACCATTCTCTTATAAAAAGCTCTTTTAGACTTTTTGGTTCCATTTTCGAGTTTCGGTGGATTATTCAGCACCGAAAAAGTCAAGAGCTTTCGCTTTCCAGGTAAGCATCTATCACCTAGCTATCGTGCATTCACCTTCTTTTTCTTCTTCTGCTACCTCTCGATTTCTCGTTCCCAACCCTAATTTCGGTCTCGATTGTACGGTATTCGATCGAAAGTTTCTCCTTTTTCGTTGGTTAATGATCATTTGGGGTTTGTTTAGCTGATTGATTGCCGATTCCTCTGTTCCCTGCAGGTAAATTTCGAAGAATCTGGTGTTTCCGGTAGATTGATTCTTCCGATCTGACCCCTTCTCATGATTAGTTTTCGATCTTCGAATAGACCAGCTGCGAAATTCTCGTCTAAAGCTCCATTCTCCTATTCGATTTCCTATCTCTTTCTACCATCGAACGTCTTCTTCATACGCTACTTCAATTGCTCTAGATTTCGCCTAAAAATCTGACCTTTTTTTCGTCTTCTGTTGTTATTCGCACTTCGCAATCTTAAGAAAGTCTAAACCTTTGTGTTTCATTCTCAAAAAGTCTCGCCTTTTCTACAGTTCGATTTGCTCATTTTGAAACTCTCTTCTTTAGAATTTGGAATGGCTGAGAGAAACTGGTTGGTTTCGTTCGAGGATCTTCCTTGTCATTTGATCTTGGAGGTGTTGACCTCTGGACGGCTCAATGCGGTTGATCTGCTTAGCCTTGAATTGACCTCAAAGGTTTTCGGAGGCAGCTATGCTCTGTACCCTTTGAAATTCAGATCTTTAGCTGATTACGCAGCGTCTCAGCTTTGCTCTGTACACCCTGTCTATGTTGGGATGGGTTTGACTACTCAGAAAGAGCTCTTTGCGAATTGTGAGGGAAACTGGAAGCGGCTTTTGAGGTTCTTGCAGTCAGTTGAGCAATCCTCGGATATGGTTGAAACCTCTGCAGGCAATGTATGATTCTTTATCTCTTTGCTTTCATCACTGAGTGTTTCACATACAGAGTAGTCTCTTAGGTAGCTTAGTGAAGTTGAGAAACTGCTATAGAGAAGATGTCAATTTGAAACTCCAGGATTGATTTGGTTTAGGGTCACAGATTCATTTCCTTATTTCTTTCTGTAGATGCAAATTACAACGGGGAGGTATCACACGTTGCTAATCAACAACTCAAAGGTTTACTCTTGTGGTTCGAGTTTGTCTGGTGTTCTTGCTCATGGACCAGAAACTACTCAATGCGTAGCGTTTACGCCTATTGAGTTCCCTTTATCTGCCCAAGTGGCTCAAGTCTCAGCCACACAGAACCATTCTGCTTTTGTATTGCAATCTGGAGAGGTTGGTAGCTTCTGTTTCACTTAAAAAAAGCTTATCGTTTTACTATAGTGTGATTGCCATAATCACTTACCAACAGTTCTACTTGAATAACTGCACAGGTTCTCACATGTGGTGATAATTCATCGCATTGTTGTGGTCACTTAGATACTAGCCGTCCAATATTTAGGCCTAAGCTTGTTGAGGCATTGAAAGGAACTCCTTGTAAGCAGGTGAAATTCATATCAAAGTTTCCAGATTTTATTAGATTGAGCATTGCTGATCTCATCTTCTATACCAGGTGGCTGCTGGGCTGCACTTCACTGTGTTTCTATCAAGGGAAGGTCGTGTGTTTACATGTGGATCAAACACACACGGACAGCTTGGTCATGGCGATACCTTGGACAGACCAGTACCCAAAGCTGTTGAATTTCTTCAAAGCGTTGGCCCTGTGGTGCAAATCGCAACTGGACCGAGCTATGTTCTAGCTGTGACACAGGATGGCTCGGTTTACTCGTTCGGCTCTGGTTCTAACTTCTGTCTTGGTCATGGAGAGCAACAGGACGAGCTCCAGCCGCGTGTTATTCAGGCTTTCAAAAGAAAAGGCATTCATATCCTCCGTGTCTCTGCAGGCGATGAACACGCCGTGGCACTTGATTCCAATGGCCGTGTAAGCTCTCTCTGTCTCCATTTGGTTATAAGAAATCAGAAAGAATCTTGTTTTGATTGTTGTTTAAATGCTTAGGTATACACATGGGGTAAAGGTTACTGCGGTGCTCTAGGCCATGGAGACGAGAACGACAAGATTACTCCTCAAGCTTTAGTCAGTCTCAAGAACTGTCTCGCTGTCCAGGTCAGATTCTTCCCCATACGTTTGAGAAAAGTGATATCTTTACGTCTTTCTTGTCTTTTGTCCTGAATCATCATGAATTCTTGACTCTGATTGTGTGTGTTTGCAGGTGTGTGCAAGAAAGAGGAAGACGTTTGTATTAGTGGAAGGTGGGTTGTTGTATGGATCAGGGTGGATGGGATTTGGAAGCCTTGGGTTCCCGGACAGAGGAGTCTCGGACAAAGTTCTGAGGCCGAGAGTGTTGGAGAGTCTGAAACCACACCGTGTCTCTCAAGTAAGCACCGGTTTGTATCACACCATAGTGGTCACTCAAGGTGGTCGCATATTCGGTTTTGGGGATAACGAGAGAGCACAGCTTGGTCACGACTCACTCCGTGGCTGCTTAGAACCTACCGAGATCTTTCTCCATTGTGGCCGTTCTCGTAGCCGGCTTTGTTGATGATCCTAGCTTAACAACAAGGGACCATGCCTGTTTGTTTGTATGAAATATGAACCACCGGATTGAGACCGGTTAGTATATTTTGTATGATTTGTATGAGTGAGTGTGTATCAAAACTGTTTCCGGTTTGGTGTATCGAACATACTTCCGGTTAAAATTGTTTAGCGTTGCAATTAAAAATTGAATTGGGAATGACGTGGATCCAGTTTTACCTCCGTTTTAGAAATTTGATCCAATTTTACCTCTGGTTGGTAATATTTACATGACCTTTGAAAGAGAGACAAGCCTTGGAGAAGCAATTGTATCCAAAACTGAGGAGACACCAAAGGATGTCGCTGAAAACTTATGTACACATGGATATTTACATTCGAGAATGCAAAAGAATTTAGAATAAAAATAACTCTCACTATCTCTCTCGCGCAAATGAAAAAGTTGAATATAGACAAGTTTTTGACTCTTTGCTAAAGCTAGAATGAGCTTTAAAAGCCTATGCCTATCTATTATGATTGTTTGTGAAGTAACATTGGATTATTCTTTTTTTTTTTTGTGAAGGTTGTTGATTGTAGAATTTGTGGGGAACCACATTCAGTTCTTCGTTTTGCGTTCGTTGAGTTTGCCGATGACCGTAAGTTGGATTCTTGAATTGCCATTTCCATATCACTCTTTGATCCATTTACATAGTTAACTTTTTTTTTGATACAGAGGGGGCACGTGAAGCTTTAAGCCTTGGTGGAACAATGCTCGGGTACTACCCGGTGAGAGTCTTACCCTCAAAAACTGCTATTCTTCCTGTGAATCCCACACTAATCTGGAAAAATCAAACGAATACACTAACTTGTTGAACGGATGTCAATCGAGTTCATACATACAAACTAATAGGAAAACACTGAATAAAATCCTATTAGCTTGTATGTATGAATCGGATTGACATTGGTTTAACAAAGTTTGTGTATTCGTTTGATTTTTCCAGTTTGATTCGTAGTTTTGTGTATCAAATATTGGATTCTGTTTAAACTTTAAACGGTCAAATGGTAATTAAATTGGGAATGATGTGGATCGAACGTTTCCTCCGTTAGCTTTATCTACTCGTTGATTAATTTTATTATTTTCATCAATATCTATCGATTTGTTTTAGATGGAAATAAAATTAAGATGAGACAATAATGCTCTGCTTTGCAAATATCAGAACACACTCATTATTGTATTGTATCGTATCATATCTCTTTTTTTTTGTTAAAAGATTATTATTGTATATCATATTCATATCCCCACGGTTTTGACAGAAATATCTAAAGATGCTATTATCAGAAATCGTAATCATCATACTGCTTTTCTAACGTGGCACGTAAAAAGATCATATCATTACGGTTTACAAAGACAGATCCGTCTCATTAAACAATCTAAATATTCTCCTTTCTATATGCTGTTGGATTCACATTTTACCAGATTGATTTTTTTTCCTTCAAATAGTTTATACTAACGGATAAGAACACGTCGGACATGTCAGAGAAGGTCTTATCTATCTACTAAATATCCAAGTCATCATCACGTGTAATCAATCCGTATAATTATAAATACTCTCTTACCTCAATACTTCATCTTCACAACAACAAACAAACATTTTGATCATCAAAGAGAATAAACAAAAAAACAAAGCAAATTCAAAAAAAAATGTTGGCAATATTTCAGAAAGCGTTTGCTCACCCACCGGAGGAGCTCAACAGTCCGGCGTCTCACTTCTCCGGCAAAACCCCAAAACTTCCCGGAGAAACTCTCTCCGACTTCCTCTCTCGCCACCAAGACTCCGCTTTCTCCATGAACTTCGGCGATTCCACCGTCCTCGCTTACTCCCGCCCCGACGGCGCTCGCCGCCAGAGGTAACACATACATACATACATAAATCCCAAATCAAAAACCCTAATTCATAGACTCACAAGTCTGGATTTTGATTGTTCTTCAGGTTGTTCTGTGGAGTAGACGGGATCTACTGTATGTTTCTCGGGAGACTAAACAACCTCTGCACGTTGAATCGACAGTACGGATTAACGGCGAAAAACTCTAACGAAGCTATGTTTGTGATCGAAGCTTATCGAACGCTCCGTGATCGTGGTCCTTACCCAGCCGATCAAGTCCTCAGAGGTCTCGATGGAAGCTTCGCCTTCGTCGTCTACGATTCCCAAAACTCCTCTGTTTTCTCTGCTCTGGTAACTAACTAACTAACTAACTACACACTGAGATTTGTTTGTGGGTATAAAGTTTTGATTTTTTTAATGTTTTTACAGAGCTCTGATGGAGGAGAGAGTCTATACTGGGGAATTTCCGGCGACGGATCTGTTGTCATGTCTGACGATGTTCAGATCATAAAGCAAGGATGTGCTAAATCGTTTGCTCCTTTCCCTACTGGTAAGCAAACACAAGACTTTCAAGAGAGATTTGTAAATTCTGCAAAAATTCTGAAGTTTGATGATGATGATGTGTTTGTTTGTATGTAGGATGTATGTTTCACAGTGAGACAGGGCTTAAGAGCTTTGAGCATCCGACGAACAAGATGAAGGCGATGACGAGGATTGACAGTGAAGGTGTGATATGTGGAGCTAATTTCAAAGTCGATACCTTTTCTAAGATCAATGGCATCCCGAGAAGAGGAAGTGAAGCTAACTGGGCTCTTGCTAATTCTCGTTAATTTATTTGTTTCTTGCTGCGTTTTCTCTTTACGTGTATGTAAATAACCTTTCATGCTATGAGCTTATGAACGATGAAGAAGTTTAATTGCTTTGTTTCTTGGTTTACTGATATTATATCGCAAAAAGCTTAAAGGTCCAATCTTTACTTTGAAAACTCTGTTATCTTGCGAGACAAAAACTTGGCCTTTTGATTCATAAGATGGGGAGAAGAAAACAGAGTAAAAAGATCAGTCAAGGCTTGAATGTTTTGATTCTGTGGATTTGCAAGTTTACAACAAAAAGAACTTGGATCAAAATTTAGTAGTAATCATTCATCATCCTTCCACATGTCAGCAAACTCATCAGGCTCCAATGGGTTTGAGAGCTCATGCATCTTTCTCCTTGTTTTGGCCTTGATCTTCTTGGCAAATTTCCCAGCTTTGTTCTTCTTCTCCAGTGCTCGAATCTTAAAGGGACAGAAATTGGAAAAGGGGTTTCAAACTTTTGACGAAAAATCACAATTTTTGTTAGCAATCTGTAGTACCTGGTTTGGAGAAACGTAGAATGGGTTCTCGTAAAGCGTTGGACCTCCAAAGCTGCCTCCGAATATCTTTATCGGATTCAAACAAAACCTTGGACCAACCTCGATAAGTGTCATTTTATCAAGACCACCTCGTGCAATCTTGTCTGACTCGTTATGAGGCACCGATATCTGAAACGGAAGCGAGAAAAAAACAGACCTTTACTAGTTAAAAGCATCCAAAACTGAAACGAAATGAGAGAGTAGTAGTTGATCTCTGAGAATGATGCTAACCTGGTAATTACGGAACCATATATGGTCATCGACAATGGAGAAAACAAACACATGGTCATGGTAAGGTTTAGACTTCCTGTGTTCTTTGGGGATTCCAAATATCTGGATGAATTAAGGTAAAACTAAATTAGATATTAAACCAAACTTTAGCAGGAACATAAAGGGAATGAAAAATGGTACTGACCTGAGTTAACATCTCCTTCAATAGTTTCCAGTGGACATCTTTATCAAAATTGGATGAGAATGTCAAAAGTGGGCGTGATCCTTTCAGATGGTTTCCAGTCAGTTTTAGCTCCTCCATTGTGTGAACTTTGACAAATCACAATCATGAAAATACAACACTCAGAGATGTAACAAGATACAAGTGTGACTAACCAATCATAGACTAGAGATCCTCGCTGAAGAGATTACCAGCATTAACCAAGAACTTAACAGAGGGCCCACCAGGGGACTTGACCATCCACAAGTAAAGATCTTTATGCTTCCGACACTGAATATGTAAAAAACAAAGACTTCAGTTGTTTTTGGAAGTAATCAAGAAACTTGTAAAGGGCATTCATTTTTGCAGTCTCCTACTCCAGAAACTATTCATACAGGTAAAGATTTAGACCATAAGAACAAAAGAGCCCAAATTGAACTAAAACAGAGAGATTTCATCCAAGAAACTTGTAAAGGGCACTCATTTTAACTATTGATACAAGTAAAGATTCAGAGCATAAGAACAACAGAGCCCAAATTGAACCAGAGAGATTTCATTGAAGTAACTTGTAAAGGGCACTCATTTTGCAGTCTCCTACTCCAGAAACTAGTGATACTTAGACCATAAGAACAAAAGATCCCAAATTGAACCAAAACAGAGAGAATTCATCAATCCACCGTTAGAAAATTTGTACCGGATGTCTTGATAACAAGTTACATTCCCAATTAAAGAGATAACAACTAATTTCTGGAATTAAGGAACCAAAAAAGATCGAATATATACCTCAAAGAACAAACAGGAAGAAGATCCCTTAAGCTCGACAAGCTCATTAAGAGTGGCTCCTTTACTGCTCTTTGCTTCCACTTTACTATCCTTCTTACAGTGAGGCAGAAGTGACACTATGTTCAACATCAGATGCCGATACCTTCCAATAACAAAACCAAGAGAAAAATTAGATACTCGATTCTTCTTCTTCTTCTTCTTCTTCTTCACCATTGAACGATTATAAATTTACCTGTAATTGATCCGGCGGGAACAAGTAACGAGAACTTTCTCTTTATTCCTGAAACCAGACGTTGTTTTAGATTCCTCACCATCTTCTTCCTTCTTATCTTTCCAGCCCAACAGAGTCCTTTTCGGTCTCTCCGGAGCTGAATCGTCCTTCTTCGCCAGAGCCGGCGCTTCAGTCTCGCCGTGCTTTCTCTTCCTCCCCATTCGAGACGTCGATGAAACAAACAAACAAACAGATCGTTCTCTTCAAGGGTTTAAGCAGCAACAGAGTCGAAACTCAAAACCTAGTGGACAAGACGCTTTTGAGTTTTCTGACTCGTTTCAACGACATCGTTTCGTTAACTACACAAATGGCCCGAAACATTTAGTTGGACTTGGAACTGGGACTTCGGGTTTTGGATATAGAAATCGTTTTTTTTTTTATAACATCTGACTTTACTGATATCAAATGTAGAGATACATAAGCAATACATATAGTTTAATAAATAACAAAGATAACGAAGATGATGAAATAATAACAATAGATCAAATAAAGTAAATTCTGAAGATGTTGTCTTGGGTCTTCGTGAATAACAGAGTATCAACACTGTTATTTTCCTTGGGGGCTTCAAATCTTCTAAAAATACCAGTTTCCTTTGTTGGATTACATTCCTCCCAATCTAGTTCTATAGATATTCTGTCATATAGAATCCAATATATTGGTTCTTCTGTCAGAAATAAAGATTGGGACAACCAATTTTAACCGACTCTAAGAACATCACGTCGCCATACAACAAAGAGAATACATCTTCAACTCTATATCGTTGTCTCTTCCAATGATTCCAATGGTTCCAACGACAGACATTCTATCGAAAAAGTATCTGTTCGTCGCGCTCAAAATGATACCGTTCCGTGGACTGTTCAATCTATCGAGAGCCCCAAGCTGATGATCCACAGGTGTAGGCGGATGCATCGAGGCCATCCCGGGCCATGAGATGGCCGCAGAGACGTCTTGGCTGTGGAAATGCTCGTAAGAGTTTGTCACCGTCACGTTCTTGTTGCTACTGCTCCGGCTCGGTCGAGAAGCATGGGACTCGTACTTCCATATGTACACGTGTGAGTCTTCGCTCGCTGAAACTACGTATTTCCCATCTGCTGTGATCGACGCAGAGATCTGGCTGCTCGTATTCCGAAACCCTATGAAATGGATAAAGATTGATACTTTTTGACCTGCAAATGAATAAATAGGAGACAAAGTTTGAAAATTTACCTTTAAGTTTGTTAACCAGATCGGTTCCATCAACAATGCGGATCCGTGAATCGGAAGATGTCACAAGCACTTCAGATGAGCTTCCAGGCACAAACTAGCGAGGCAAAAGCAAGAAACTTTTTAATAAATCCTTTGCTTCATTGCAATTTGCTCCTGAAGAAGTAGTGATTTTGGCTTTTACCTGGAAACCAGTTATCTTTTTCTGATGAGCTTTCTTCTTCTTGTTCTGTAAATTTATTTGGCTTTTCTGTTGAAACTTGTTATCTGATGCACTGTACATGCGACAGATTCCTTTGTATGAACCAACCAACGCACCCTTTAAAGTTTAAACAGAGGTTCTTCAGAAAGTTAATAGAAGACTCTTGGTGAGATGCAAAAAATACTAATGTGGCAGATTTGGTTTTACCTGACCGTCTGGAGTGAAGCAAGCAGAAGTGACCATCTCATGAAGATCATACCAGTCAACAACTTGACGATCAGGAATGCTCCAGACGCGGACTTTTGCATCTAAAGATCCACTGAATGAAGTATCTATCATCCACCGGGTTAAACTCAATAATCAAAACATACAAAGATTGTTATTTTGATAAGCACTTATAATAAAAACACACAGAAAAGCTAATATCAAGCTGGAGAAGAAGCTACTAACCGTAATCACTGTGAGAGAATACTTTCAAGCAAGTCTGGCTTGACAAGTGCCACAAACGAACTGTTTTATCCATTGATGAAGAAAGCAAATGCTGAGGATACAAAGTAACAGAAACCTTCTTTACTTCTACAAATCAGTTTCTTCCAAAGAGAACCAATAAATTGAAGCATGACTAACTAACTAACCTGAGACTTGGACCAAGCAAGGTCAAGCACATCATCAATATGTCCCTGGAAGGAACAAAAGGGTTTCTCCGAGAGCCCGAAAACAGAATCCAGAACAAATATGTTCTCCAAACTCAATGACTTTCTACTTATTGACGTCCTCCCTCTTCTCCTCGGCGACATAGTAGTTGGCTCTGGAGACCCGTTATTAGCCAGAAGCAGCAACTCAGGTCTATCCAGTAACAACTCTCCTTTCTTCTCAGCCTCAACGACTTGCCAAACATGAATGATGCAATCCTCACCAGTACTAGCAAGATACTTACCATCCAAACTAAACTTAATGCTCCAAATAGAGCCATTATGCGCTTGAATCTCCTGCGTCTTGTACAATGCCGTGAGCTCTTTAGACGACTTCCCATACTGCCTCACCCTAACTCTCTCCGGCCCGTGGAAAGAAGACTCATGAGAATCATCTGTAGCTGAGCTTGACCTCCGACCACCTCTCTCCGACGATGTGTCTTTATCATCGCTGCTTCGTCTCTCTTTGCTGTGACCAGTCATGCTGCTTGCAACAATCTTTATGCTCTTGAACCAACTTCCTTTCTTCTTAGACTTCAACGTGTGATATTTATTCCCACTACTGTCCTCGTTCTCCTTGGTCCTCGTTGATGCGTTCTTATCGGAATCCTCCACGTTTTGTCTTCTCATAAGCTCCTGAACGATTGGAGAGTGTCCCACACACATCTCGAACTCCTCCATCGTCATTTGCGTGTCAGTTCCTACTTCTTTCACCTTCTTCCATGTACCGTCCTCTCGAATCTCATTCACCACAAACTCTTTCCCGTTATCCAGATTCTTAATAGTACACACTTCCACTTCCTCGTTGACTACTACACTCTCACTAGAGTTTCTCAACACACAATCAGAGCTTCCATTTACTCGCAATGGATCCATTGAGCTCTCACAAAGCATTGAAGAATCGTTATCATCACGATTGTGAGCAATATTGTTGCAATTTACAAATGGCGGCGTTGTTCTACAGATCTCAGAATGTGAATGGGGAAGAGAAAGTGTAGAGTCGGAGCAAGAACAAGAATTACCCGGCGGAGGAGGATATCGATCGCCGCATTGGCCAGTGGTGATGTCGGATTTCGATCTCCCGATGAACGAAGAAGCACTGCCGCCGACAGTTTCCGAGCACTCTCCGTGATCTCGCCGAGCCAATTGATTACACGAGGTCGATCGGGAAATGTCGGGGGCTCCGGCATCTCTGGAGCTGGGATCGGAGACGGGTTTCAACCGGGAGTGAAGGGGTTCGCGGCTGAGACCTATTTCGTTTAAAAGCCGTGAACGCCGCTCGGAGACGGAAGCGGGCTCGGAGATCCATACGTCGAAGCTTGAGGCACCCATTGGGAAGCGAGGGACGGGAATGGGAATCGACGGGGGTCATGGGAAGCGGAGGAGATCCGAGGAGAGGATTCCGAATTGGCGAGGTCGGAATCGTAATCGGAGTTGGAAGCGGAGCAAGAGCAAGAAGAGGAAGAGGCTAAGCGATCAAGAGACTCGTAGAAGCAGTCGCTGTCTCCTCCTCCGTCCTCTTCCTCGTTTTGTTTGCTCATGGCCAGTGCAGGCGCTATGTTGAAGACATTCCCATCGGAAAGTTTCCTCCGCCGGTGATTTGATCAAACAGTAACAAATCACCAAAACGGAGACGTGAAAAGGAATTGTTTTGAAGTTTTTTCTCAGTTCAAAGATGGAAATTGTTTGTGGGGATTTTGTGGTTTGGGGGTTTTGTCGCTGAAATTTGGGGATTAGGCGTGTTTTGAAGAATTCGAAGAATCAGATTAAGGTTTTCGGGAGGAGGTCAGATCTGATGAGAGGCAGAGAGAGAGGTAAGTTGGGTGTTCGGAGATGTCTGTGTAGAAATCAAATGTAGCATACTGCCATTTGTTCATGTTTATTGATTAAATTCAAATGAATTCTTTTGTTGTTTTATACAAATAAATTTTAGTACATATATTCATATACAAATATATGTACTATTTTTACACATATTCATATACAAATAAATATCAAAATTGGAAAACCAACAAATGATGTGTCTTTAGAAAGATTTTGTAAATAACACTTGGTAATATTTACAAAAATCTTTCTAAAGACACATCATATTGCCAAGTGTTATTTACAAAATCTTTCTAAAGACACATCATATTTCCAAGTGTTATTTACAAAATCTTTCTAAAGACACATCATTTGTTGGTTTTCCAATTTTGATATTTATTTGTATATGAATATATGTAAAAATAGTGTATATTGTATAATACATTGTATTACTATTTAAAAATTTAACTCAGTCAAATTGTTTCCTTACAGTAAACATAATGAACTGACAAAATGCTCCAATAATAGTGAATACAATTAAACTAAAAGCCAAAAACTAGTTACTATGATTTTGAGTTAAAAAAACACAAAAATTATTGTCAAAAGCAATTCTTCATAAAGTTATTATTTTAAAATCAGTTGGGTTTAGTTGATCAAAATTGAAAATATATATCTTGACCCAAAAAACAAAAAACCATATGTAACAGTAGAACTAATACATGTGTTACTTTGGAGTTTCTTTAAAATGTCAAACAAAGTGGTGTGCAGAAAAATAAACAGTATAAAGATCTAACAAAATGTGAGTGCTCGTTCCATCGTACAACTTAACCACCGTTTAACCGATTTAACCATCCAACATATCAAATCACATAAAGCTTGTAGAAGATCATGATTAACACAATCTTTCGTTTCAAAGGCCCACAAACAAAAATCAGAATAAGAAGAACCATAAGTAACGCTCAAAGCTCAATCTTGGTGATTATACTAGGTTTTGTTATATCGATTCGTAAGGTCGAAAAATATAAGAAAAACAAATAAAAATAAAGAATAGTAGTAGAAACAAGAAAGAGAGAGGTGAAATGGGCCTGTAAGGCCCACAAAGAGTAAATGCAGAGAGAGGAGCACAGCTAATCAGTGTGACACATGCCCATTCCCTACTTTTCCCGTCCCATCGTTATTTACATAACACCGTTTCTTCTCTCTTTCCAGGACCATTTCTTTTTTTCTTTTCTAATGATTTTATTTATGCTGATTAAGAGATTAAACATTTGACAAACGTTAACAATTAGAAAACAAAAAAAAAACATTTGACAACTAATGATGATCCGACCACTAGCATAAACATGTTCAATACACATAGACATGAAAATATCAAATCACGAGCTGTAGAACTTCTTTTCTGTATTATGGATTTAATTAGCTTTGTTTATAGACTTTTCTTATAAGTCCAGATAAAATACAGGCTTAGTTTAGCTTATTTGGGACTTAATTTTATGAATATAAAATCAAACATCGATCATAACCTTACATCAAGCCGCAATGTTTGTTTTATTTAATGGTTTCACTTACATCTTGTTCTTTATATAAAACTGAGAAACACCAAATTGTTTTCTTTGGTGAACAAACACCAAATGATTTCATGCGATCACATTAGTAACTGTTTGAAATTTTTATGTACATGTAAATGTTTTGTGTCATTTCTTTAACTTTACTAGGGCTTGGTCCGCGCGATTCGCGGATTGTAAGTAGTTGAAAGTTTTATTAATTGTTATATCAGAAATGTGAATGGTTTGTGTTCTATAATTTGCTAGATATGTAAACTTAGTTTGAGAAAGAAATGTATATTGTTTCTTAACTCCTCTAAAATAAAAATTCTCAAAAAAAATTGGGATAATTGGAAATAAATGATGTTTTTACTATACCTTTGGTGATCTATACCTTTTATTTTTTTACTTTGGGGGATTAATCTTTATATGGATGTAAAATACCTATATACCCTAACTAATTAAAATACCTATATACCTTAACTAATTAAAAATTCATATATATAAAAATTAGAGGAAAGATTAATTAATACGAACCTTGCTTTTATTCTTTATACGAACGTTGCTGTAATTGCTCATGTAGATCACGGGAAGACCACTCTCATGGACCGGCTTCTCCGTCACTGTGGTGCTGATATCCCACACGACCGTACCTTGGATTTAATCAACCTAGAACGTATATAGTGATTATTTAAACCATAACAATTTTTCATTTCTTAGATATATATTCATCTCATACCAGTCAGAAACTTTGTTTTTTGTTCTTAGAAAATTTTCATTCTGAAGTTTGAATTTGTATCATCAGTGAGACTAACAATGCAAGAGACTTTTTTTTTTGTTTTTCCAATGTGGTTACTTACTTACTTTTTATGTCTTGCAGTCCTTGTTTATTACTTATCGCATAGCATAACATTTGAAGTTTATGTGAAATCGTCCGACAGGTGACATCCATATTTTGGAAGGACAATGAACTTAACATGGTGAACTTAATATGAGACTGATCCCTTACAAACAGTTACTTTTTGCGTACTTAGAGATTATCATGCACAATTTTAAAAGAATTAAATATCAAACATGTGCTTAGTGGACCTGAGATAAGTGAAATACAGTAGAAGGGAAAAAGTGATGTTGAGATAGAGAAGAAACAGAGGCCACGAAGGGGATGGAGAAAATAGAAGAAGATATTGAGAGAGATTTTTTGGGATTTCACTTCCTAATATTGATTTTGTTTTATTTTTAGAATCTAGAGATAGAATGTGCATTCTAAAATTTTAAGAACCTGTATGAACTCTAGAATTTGCATTCTTAAAATCATAGAAGATGCATTCTAAAAGTTTTAGAATATGTACAATTTGTAGAACACAGATTCTAAAAATTTTAGAACGTATGATACGCATTCTAAATTTTTTAGAATATGTACAAATTTTAGAACATGCATTCTAAAATTTTTAGAATCTGTTGAAACGTTAGAATTCATATTCTAAAAAATTTAGAACGTAGAATCCGCATTCTAAAAGTTTTAGAACATGTACAAATTTTAGAATATGCATTCTAAAAACTTTAGAATATTCTGAAATGTTAGAATTCATATTCTAAAAATTTTAGAACGTAGAATGCGGATTCTAAAATTTTTAAAAGAATAACTAAACATTTTTTTTTCAATTTTTGTTTTTACACTTAAAATCATAAAAATGTTACTATGGTGTTTTCAATTTTTTATATTTTTATTCACATTTCTCTGAATTTTAAAACAATTATTGATTATTATAATAATTTATCTAAGGTTAATTTAGTCCAAAAATTGACAAAATACTAAAAGGTGTAGATTACCAAACATACATTGTAAACGTCCTTTAATTCCAATTTTCCCAAAAAAAATTTGGGAGTATTCTAACAAATATCATATTAGTATTTGCAAATCAATTTTCGTGAATGGAGCACCACGTTAACTCTCAGCCTCGGAATTACATAACTACCCTTAATGAAAATCTTGAATAAATCTTTCAATTTGCTTATTATCTTATTTAAAAACGAATTTATTTTATTGGACGATGGATAACGAATTTTGCTTTCTTCCTAAATTATTTTTGGATATATACCGTATAACTAACATATTTTCGCGCCACATATATGGAAGAAATTAAAAAAATTGTAAAGAATTAAAAATTGGAAAACCTAGGTTTCTTATATATAGTTATAGCTACAAGCAAAATCAACCCAATTCTCATTACGATTTGCATATCTTCTTTCTATACGTAATCTTACTTCTTAGGTCTCATATTTCTTCTTCTCATGTATCTTTATTGTTTCACTTTGATTTAAGTTCTATTTACTGTAATGATTAACTGATTATTTGTTATCTACTGTCAATCATCTACATATACGCTTCTAACTTCTTCTTCTCTCGCTTTTGTAACAGTGAGTTCCAAGCTAATGGAATCTAGAAGATCAGATTTGGTCCCAAGCGAGAAATATTCAACTCCAGCAAAAGAAGGTATGAACATCTATCCTTTTAATTACCATCTTAATATTCATGAAACCCTAATTCTAATGGCGAATCTATAACGATTTTTTTTTTTAATATCCATAATATTTGCTTAATCATTAATAATGTGGTGTTTGGGTTATTTAGGGGGTGGTGTTACACTGTGGGTTTGGGTTTAGGGTGTAGGGTTTATATTGATGGGGTAGGGTTTAGTTTTTGGTGTATTTTAAAAAAACTTGAATTATTACAGAAGAATTTCATAATAAAAAAATCATTTATTTGAAATTTATATCTACTTTCAAAATTACATTCACAAATAGAAAAAAAAACTAAAACAACTAAAGAAAATCCAGAATTGAAAGATAACAAAACTAATAAATTTTTAAAAGACTCAACTATATAAAGATAGAATCTATTTCAAAAATATTGAAAATTTTAACTATCGAAATGAATTGGTAGGTGATATGCAAGACACAAACAAGACATAATAGATACATAAGTAAAAGAAAAGAAAACAGTGAAAAAGAAGATGAAAAATTTAGAAAAGAAAAAGAAAAGTCGAACATGAGGAAAAAGAAAGGAAAGAAGAAATAATGGAATGTGAAGAAAATTCCAAAACAAATGAAGAATATTACGTAGAAGAACAAGAAAGAGAAGATAAAAATAAGACACCTCAAGATTACAAAAATAAGAAGTTTGCGAAAACAAAAACGATGAATACAATAAAAAGTTGTACTACTTATATTATTTAAATCTTTAATTAATAAACCACCTTGTTATAAGTGTGTTTATAAACATTTGCAACACCATGTACCAAATTTAATATCTTATCAAGGGAAATACATATGGAATCCAAATCAACCAATCCTGTTCAATTTGAACAACTTTGCTATCTCACAAATTCCATGTCCGGCAACTACTTGAAATGTAGTCCTTTCTTTTACTTTTGAAATTAGTAAAGGCTTGTAAGTACAGTAATATATTTCACCCTCATATTATATATGAACAATAGTGTTATAGATGTAAATATAAAGGATTTGTATTATTACCAAGATTCATAAATATCTTCTATTTTGGAATCAAACTCTATTTTAAAAATATCTTTTGTGCTTTTTCGTTTTAAGATTAAATCGAATCTTTAGTTTGCCTTAAGATTGAACTTGAAGCTGTGATAATTAATTGATGATTCGTTTTTGCAATTTATTTAGCAACCATAGTTTGAAAAGAGCTTGTAATTTACAAACAAATTTTTTTTTTTTTCTTTTTGCCTAAACAATCTCCTAACAAAACTCATCGTTCCTAATCTTTTTCTTCCTTGAAGCAAAGCTACTTGGTCCGATCTTTATTGATATTCTCTTTGTTCTGTAGAAGAGACCACAATAGTAAATAATTAGAAGTGAATATCAAAATCAGACAAACCAAACCAAATTGTATAAATCGATAAAAAAGAGCAAAATGTATATACCTCTCTGAGAGCTCCTCGGATACTTTGGCATCACAATGAGAACCTGTATTAGAATCAAATGCAAAATCTATTTTAAAGTTTCAAAACGAGATGAAAGTGGAACAAACAAAAAAGGAGCAACCTTTGCAATTTTCCTCATCACCCTCGTGCTCTGACTCTGAACCAGAACTTGACTTAAGCATCCAAAAATCTGGACTATCGGAATCAGTATCTTCCTTACCGCCTCTTGTTTTCTTGGTCTTTGCGCTTGAGCCAGTTCCCTTTTCCACTTGCTCTATCAAACCAAAACATTACAAGCGTGAGACTTTTAGATTCAGTACAAAGATGCCAGTGAGTCTAATCTTTAAGTGGAACACATTTATTGACCTAATTTGTGAAGAAATCTTCTCCCATTCACGTGTTTCCAGATATGTTCCTCGTTCTTGTTCACAATATCTCCTGTAACCTTGCACACAAGTTTCGAACTAAGAACACAGCCAAAAGCAGAAGAAAGCTTAAAACTTTATTCATTTTCTTATGCTGAACAACATCATCTTTAATATAGCAGTAAGTCAATAACTATGATTATGAAGCAAAGATCTCTCTGAAACTATGAGCCATATAAAGAGGAATCCAACATATAAAAGTCTCATTTTCTTGGCCACAAAAACTCAGAAAGTAGCAACTAAAGGTCCTCAAATGTATTTATCAAAACCAAAATCAACAAAACTCTAATGTAGCAATGATCTACATGAAACTTAAAGCTTTATAATCCGAAACTTCGAAAGGATTACAAAGACATGAAAGTGCAACTTTTTCCCTCAGAAAACCATCAAAAGTTTAATCATTCATCCACTTTCTTTAACAGATGTAAACAACTACAAAGGATTTGTTTTGGGTTTTCAACTAATTTTGATAGCTTGATAAGCCTCAAAACCACTTTAATCTTGAAATTAGCAGAATTCTAGCTTTCGCTCTTATAATCCCTAAACCCACTTGAAATATCTAAAATTTAATGTATTGATTTGACGGAAAAAATGGAGAAACTTTGGCTAACCGAGAAAATGGCGTGTGATCGATGAGTCCCAAACGATACCGTTTTTTACGAGCGTATGATTCTTCGTCGGCTACAACCTTGTGACCTGTCACGACGCATCTGAGCCGTCCGTTTCCGATATCAACGAACATAGGTGAGCCAAACAGATTCGTCGACTCTTATTCTTTCGCCTTCTCCATCATCATCTCCTTCATTCTCCTTTCTGAGTTCACAGGAATCTTTGCATTGCTCTCTAGGTTCTTGGCTTTGACACTCTGTTCTTGAGTCGGAGGTTCCATGGTTATCGAGATGATTTGCAGGTATGAACGGATTAGTATTTATAGTCATATCGATGGCTCCGGTATTTAGGTGAGCTGAGAGTAATGACATTTAATACACCGTAATGAATTGGTAAAGGGATATTAGAGAAGGAAAGAGGAAGAGACATAACCTCTATGCGTTGTAATGGAAGCCGAGCGAAATCGTTTGATGGAAAACCAGAGTAACAGTCGTGACAAAAAAAAACAATGATTCGGAGTTATTGTAAATAAAAAATCCCCTATGCAGCCGTCTGATGCCGCCTCCACGAAGCCCTTGCTCGTCTGCAACCACAGAGGTTTTCCGGTTGGTTGTTTGAGCGTCGACTGGAGATCGGTTTCTTCTCTTCACCGGTGGAGATTCTCTTCGTTTCAGACCGATACAGCCTCCAGTCAGAGCGCCCCAGGAACTTCGACCTTGCTTTCTTCCTCGCCCCGCCGCAGACAGCCGCGTTGATCTTATGGTTTTGCCGTTTGGGTATTAACCAGTTCTTCCAACTTCGCCTCTTCCCATGCGGCTCCGATTTCGTTTGTCTCATCGTCAGCTGCGACCTCACGGAGATCTGATTCGGCGGCGGCGCGTCATTTGGGGTCGCGATGAGAGGAGACGATGTTCACGGAGACGATGTCTCAAGACCCAATCGAAGCAACCGGAGACGTGTAGAAGTCGGACTATAGCCGGATTCGGATTCCATGACGTGGTGATCGAATCCCCTCTTCAATCGATTCAGCTCTCCGATCTCGATCCGGTGGGTATCGGCGATGTCTTGATCGCGTATAGGAAGAGGCTCGCCGGTTTCGAGGCGGAAGACAGCTCCGGTTTCGTTTGTGCCGTCGTCGTTTCTAAGGTTTCCAGAGGAGATTTGGGGTTTTTTTTTATGAAAACAAACATTGCAAAAGGATTGATAAACCATTTTTTGTTTGTTTTTTTAATAATTAAAGGAGCTGCCGTGTGTCAATTTTTTTTTAAGTAGATGAATAACAGGTGTCAGCAAATTGGAGAGAGTTATTAAAAACTTTAAACTAGAAAACGCTGAAAATTTATACTATCGGATAATAAGCCGAAGACGAATATATAGTCATGGCCCAATACAATGCGGCCCAACTCGAATCAATGAGAGCCTTTCATTTCTTGATTAGTTTATAATTTGGGTTCTTAAATAATTTAAACTATCTATACACATTCAAATTTTGATTTGAAGAAGGGAACTAGGAACAACTAGATAATCTCGAACCCCAAAACCGAACATTGTTGGTCTTTTCTTCTATACTTTCTTCTTTCCTTGCAGTTGTTGTTTCTTCTGTAAACGTAAGAGGCTTATAAAATGGAGTAGGCCCGGATGACCTCCATGATGGGTGCTCTACAAAGCGGACACTTACCTCCGGTCCTTACAAGCTCATTCGCACATTTTGAGCAAGTACACATGTGCCCACATCTGCATGATTCAAATCACTTGTCAGTTCTGAGTTTCAGAGAGAGAAGCGAGCAAATAGTTAGGTTACCTATACAAGAGGGCATCAATGTGGTTGTCACAGCAAACGCAACAAGTCCCTTTCCTTACATTGCTCCATCTTGATCCGTCCTCTGATGTTTCCGAGCTNACGAGCGTATGATTCTTCGTCGGCTACAACCTTGTGACCTGTCACGACGCATCTGAGCCGTCCGTTTCCGATATCAACGAACATAGGTGAGCCAAACAGATTCGTCGACTCTTATTCTTTCGCCTTCTCCATCATCATCTCCTTCATTCTCCTTTCTGAGTTCACAGGAATCTTTGCATTGCTCTCTAGGTTCTTGGCTTTGACACTCTGTTCTTGAGTCGGAGGTTCCATGGTTATCGAGATGATTTGCAGGTATGAACGGATTAGTATTTATAGTCATATCGATGGCTCCGGTATTTAGGTGAGCTGAGAGTAATGACATTTAATACACCGTAATGAATTGGTAAAGGGATATTAGAGAAGGAAAGAGGAAGAGACATAACCTCTATGCGTTGTAATGGAAGCCGAGCGAAATCGTTTGATGGAAAACCAGAGTAACAGTCGTGACAAAAAAAAACAATGATTCGGAGTTATTGTAAATAAAAAATCCCCTATGCAGCCGTCTGATGCCGCCTCCACGAAGCCCTTGCTCGTCTGCAACCACAGAGGTTTTCCGGTTGGTTGTTTGAGCGTCGACTGGAGATCGGTTTCTTCTCTTCACCGGTGGAGATTCTCTTCGTTTCAGACCGATACAGCCTCCAGTCAGAGCGCCCCAGGAACTTCGACCTTGCTTTCTTCCTCGCCCCGCCGCAGACAGCCGCGTTGATCTTATGGTTTTGCCGTTTGGGTATTAACCAGTTCTTCCAACTTCGCCTCTTCCCATGCGGCTCCGATTTCGTTTGTCTCATCGTCAGCTGCGACCTCACGGAGATCTGATTCGGCGGCGGCGCGTCATTTGGGGTCGCGATGAGAGGAGACGATGTTCACGGAGACGATGTCTCAAGACCCAATCGAAGCAACCGGAGACGTGTAGAAGTCGGACTATAGCCGGATTCGGATTCCATGACGTGGTGATCGAATCCCCTCTTCAATCGATTCAGCTCTCCGATCTCGATCCGGTGGGTATCGGCGATGTCTTGATCGCGTATAGGAAGAGGCTCGCCGGTTTCGAGGCGGAAGACAGCTCCGGTTTCGTTTGTGCCGTCGTCGTTTCTAAGGTTTCCAGAGGAGATTTGGGGTTTTTTTTTATGAAAACAAACATTGCAAAAGGATTGATAAACCATTTTTTGTTTGTTTTTTTAATAATTAAAGGAGCTGCCGTGTGTCAATTTTTTTTTAAGTAGATGAATAACAGGTGTCAGCAAATTGGAGAGAGTTATTCTCTCTTTATATATAAGATTTAGGCTAATGCATGCGAATAAACCAAACATTTGCACTATAGAGTTTTTGTTTGATAGTAGAGTACCCCAGACGAAAGAAAAAATATCAAAAAGTATCGTAGTGAAAATGAATATTTGAAGACCAATCATGTATATTTTTTTATATTCACTAGTCGTCTTTTTTTTCCACCTGTTAACAGGGAAAAAGTCATAAGGAAATGGAAAAAGAAAAGCGATGAGAAAATATAAAAATATGGTGAAAACGAGTATTCAATGATGTTTTAGGACGACAAAAAAATGAGTTGTATAGTTGTGGTTAAAGTGAAACATTTCGTTGGGTCAGAAGCTGGAAACTGGTTTGTCATACATATATTAAAAACAACAATATTTAGAATGATATTGTAGAGAAATGAGAAATGAGAAATGAGAAATGAGAAATGAGAAATGAGAAATCAGTAAACAGAAATTGAAATGCACAGAACGAGTATAATAGTGTGTCGTCGTCAACCGTTGAAGTTGCAAAACTTGTCATTGTCTTCAGATCGGCCACGTCACTGCCCATTCTTCTGTCTTCTTTTATTTTTTATTTTTTTTTTTAAATGGCCAAAAAACCAGTTATAAGAATCATGGTGATTATTGCCAATTACTATTGCAGCGAACAATTTTTTTTAACTAGTATTAACAGAGGAATATACGCAATGGTATTTTCTTACCATGTTTATGAAGCTGAGATGTTTTGATGACAGTGATTCCATTTGGTTGTCTTCAGATTGTGCGTCTATGTACTTCTTCTCTTTTAGAGGAACGCAGAGTCTCTGTCTCCTTCATTTCTCAGCCGAAGAAAATATTGTCTCTTGGTTATCAAATGTTGCCAAGTCTTTATTGTTTTTGAATCAAGAAGCCACAAAAAAAGGGAGAATTAGCTAAAATGATCATATTGTGGAACTACACATTTTTTAATTTTGACATTTTAATGACTTAAACCATTCAAAGAAATTAGAAAAAATCAAATTAACACTTAAAAAGTAATCATGGTTATTTTATGTTAAACTATTTTAAAAAATAATAAACATGTGTTTTTGTTAACATTATTGTATGATTTACCTGTTTTAGTAGTCGTATTCTGGCTTGCCTAATCTAGATATCAAAATTACCTTTTGAAGAAAACATAATCTGGCTTACCCTTACGTAGAAAGTCCTACCTAATCTAGATTTCCAATTTGCCTAATCTAGTATATGTAGTCTGAATTACGTAATTTAGGAGACAATTCTAGCAACTCTAAACTACCAATTTAGCTTACCGAATATACATCACATTTTGGTTTACCTTATAACCCCCGACCGCCCCTCCCGATGAGTCACCCATGCCCTATATCTGGACCTGCAGGCCCATCTCGACCCGTGGGCCTCATCCCTATCCCACGACAGGTCCGTTATTTTTGAGAGGCTCTAATGACTTATTTATTATCCCTGCAATCAACACCCGATCTTTCCCCGTGTTTTGGCCTCACTCACACGGTTTCGGAAACCACTTCCCGGAAGGTCACCCATCCTTCAACTACTCCAGCCCAAGCACGCTTAACTCTGTAGTTACTTATAGACCTTTGACTGAAAAGGTAAGTGCACTTTGTTGACATAGGTAGCCACCGAAAAGGTAAGTGCACTTTGTTGACATAGGTAGCCAAATCAATTCTCTTAAGCCTCTCCTCATTTATCACAAACCGGGATGTTACAACTCACCCCCACTCACTGTGCCAACGTCCTCGTCGCGCACCTGGGTCGTCACCCCCTGACAGTGTAAGTCAAGACCACTTCAACTTGACTCCACACTCTCGTCTGGGTTTGGCTCTGATACCAAATTATAACACCCCGACCGCCCCTTGAGTCACCCACACCCTCTCTCTAGGTCCGCATGCCATCTCGGCCCGTGGGCCTCACCCCTGTCCGACGGCCGGTCCGTTATTTTTTAGAGGCTCTAATGACTTGTTTATTATCCCTGCAATCAACACCCGACCTTTTCCCGTGTTTTGGCCTCACTCACACGGTTTCGGAAACCACTTCTCGGAAGGTCACCCATCTTTCAACTACTCCAGCCCAAGCACGCTTAACTCTGGAGTTACTTATAGACCTTTGACCGTAAAGGTAAGTGCATTTTGTTGACATAGGTAGCCAAATCAATTCTCTTAAGTCTCTCCTCATTTATCACAAACGGGGATGTTACATATCTAATCTAGAATTCGTATTCTACTTTGTTTCCAAATAAAAAATCTTAGATCTACATATCTTTATTTCGTGTTCTAACTTTTGAACTCTTAATCTTGACAATAAGAGATGGGTTTGCTGCAGATCTACACGATTTGTGGTGTATGGAAATCAATTCATAATAGTTGGGAATTTGTTGAAGATAAAGAGAGATATGGTAGGATGATTTCGTGAAATCTCATAGTACTTATAAAGAGCTAAAAGTTACGGTTTCAGAAGACTATGATTTGGAACAGAGTATTGTTGATATGGAAATCAGCTATTTGCCTCATGATTTGGTTGGACAGTTCGAATTTCCCCCAATGGTTGTATCAAACAATCGACAATTGAAAAGTTTGATTGGTTATTTAAGTAAAGAGAAAGGAGTTCGGTTGTGTGTGACATTGAAGACTAGTTCCGGTGACATCGGAAAGAGTGGAGTGACCATCGATTTCAATGAGAAACCATAAGATCCAATTGATTGAGGAAATTGTCCAATTAGTTTACCGAATTCGCGCGGGGAGAGTAGGTGGCGGAGAATTCACCGGCAGGGTAAGAAGGTGAAGGCGGAGTAAGCAAGGACGGTGAAGAGGAAACTAAAGCTCTTTGGTGTTTTTCTTCTCAATTCTCACAAACAAGAAACCCTCGGTTCTCCTTCACAACTAAAAGAAGAATAAAATCGAGAGATGGAGCAAATGTCTTAATTAAAAAAGAAAATGGGAAAATTAGTCAATAGACTTAAATTGATTATTAGTTTTTGCATTTTTATATATATATTTATATACTAAAATAAAACCTAAATACCCTAATTAAATATAAAAAAAGTTAGTTCCACAACACCACAAAAATATGAGCCTTTTTAGTTAATCTTCCCAAAAAACAAAGGCTTTTTTAATGTGTTAATATAAAGACCAAGGAGACAATGATACTTTAAATAGTTTCGAACTTTAAAACAAAAATTATATATTCTTGCAGTAGTTTCCTAACAATTTCTTTACTATTATTATTAACACAAATGACTAAATTCAATGACATTTTCTTGCAATATATGACTTTGAAATTTTCATAAAAAAAAAACAGTTTCGAGTTTTTTTCTTTTTTTTTTTTTTTTTTCTGGGGTGCAAATGTGAAGATAAACAGTTTCGAGTTGTTTTGTTATTGTGATTTATTTATGACGACATGAGATTGTCTAACGGGGTTTGTCACACATATTTTTTGAGATTTGAACGGAATGTATGAATTGTAAAATAGAATCAAACTAGGTCACAAGTATTGAAGTTGTTTCGGAGGATAAACACATAGGTTATAGACTAGTAGACTTATAGGTACGTCTTCTCCGAGAAAAGGAAAACATGAGAAAAGTCAACTATCATATCTGTTGTAAATAGGTGTTTAATTATTTTATATTAAAATCAAAAGTAGAATTATAACATTAAAGATACAAATTCCGTTAGAAATTAAATGGTTTGAATCATTCTCACCCACCAACCTCTATTTAGGTCTTGTTGGCATAGCCTTATTCATTCGTTGCTAGTAACAATATTAGACATTTAGATATTTTATAAAAAAAAACTATTAAGTATGCGTCTTATTTCACGGACATGTAGATTGATATAAAATAGCACCTTTGGTTTTCTAAAGATTTCTCGAGGGCATTTTTGTTAAAGTACATTTCTGAATGCCATTTGAAAATATTGTCGTGTTCTCTATAAATATGAAAGTGTTATGGGTAAATAAGTGGATGCCCATTAGGTCCATCTTATTCCCAGACACAAACTCT